TGATTATATATATATATATATATATATATATATATATATATATATATACAGAAAAAAAGAAAGTGCTTTTTATGAAATTATAAACTTCATATTTCAGATTTTAAATTCTGCAAAAAACTGGCCAAATTCACAATAAAGGTTGCGGGGTGGGGTTCACTGTGATGCCATTTTGGAAACATTTTTCTTCCTAAAATCACCCCCTTTTTTATCTAAAGAACCCTTTTTTCCACTTTACAGAGCCTTTCATGCAATGGAAAGATTCAGTGATGTTAAAAGTTCTTTATGGAACCATTAATTCAAATAAAGAACCTTACTTTTTAAGAGTGTAAATGCCTTACTGTATCCTCAATTTTTCCTTTATTTGTATTCATTTTTAAAGAAATGATTTTTTTTTGTGATTATCAACCACAAATGCTGTCGATTAAACTTAACTTGTACCCAATTCAAAATATTCCTTTGAAAAAGCATACACCTGCCTCTAAAATCATAAATGTGTCTCTATCTGCTTTACGCAGGAAAACAGATCTTCATAATGATCCCAACGATCCACCAGCATATGGTGTTTAACCAGAGCGAATTAAGGACGGGGAAACATTCCTCTAAATGACGCAATTACAGTAACGACTCGATGATAATTCAATCAAAAAAAGGTAGGATTAAATAGTCTGGAAATTATTTAGTCTGCGTGTATCTTGCAAGCCGGAGCTCCTGAGATCTCTATGTGTCTGAGGCTTCGGTGGGGGGTGTTAACCTCCCCTCACCTCCCCGCTCCTCTCCCTTCATTAGCAGAGGCTGAGGTTGTTATTTGAGAGGAAAGGGCTGTGTTGGCACGATTGGAGAACTGGATGCGGTGCCTATTTACATATAAAGAGCTCTATTAATCAAGGTAAGTGTCATTATGGAGGGGCTCATTGGGCAGCACAGTGTGGGTATTAAATAAAATTCTCCATGCCAGGCCGCCCGCGGCGGGCGATACGTCTTGATTTGTGGACTGTCAGAGACAGGCAGCGAAGATGGAGCCGGGGAAAGAAGGTGCGTGCGCGTGCTTATTTTGTTGCAGTAAACACATAATAGCATATGTTGAAATTGAAAACAAAGTTAAAAAGAGTAAAATAATATAAAAATTACAATTAGCTCAAAAACATATTGTAAAGTCATTTTTTTCTGATGTCTGTTGGCAATGATTATAGATATCAAAGTTGTCTGCTAAAGAATAGCGTTGATTGTAGTAGTGTATGCTATCCAAAATGAATGTTAATATGGCAGTACATGTTATAAATTAAGAAAACAGAATTAAATTATCTAAATTATATGGGGTAAATGCATACAGAATTAAAACTCATACATAATTAAAACTTAATTAATAGTGAAATGTCATGAAAAAGAAAAAGAAACTAAATGTAAAACTTAATTCTGAAAATAAAGTAAAATATATATTAAAGTCAAAATTCTTCTGATGTATTTAGGCAGAGATATCAAAGTTGTCTAAGTATGCTATCAAAAATTTTAACTTTTTAAGTATATACGTTATATGGTTTAAAATGCATACAGAATTTTAAAATATAGATACAAATGTCATGTAAGAGGGAAAAAAGTCTAGATTTGCAACTTAAAACGTAAATTTAAACTTAAATTTAAAACTTAAAATTTAAAATTCTTATGATTTATATTGGCAATGATAATATATACCATTTGTCTGTTTAAGAATATTGTTGATTTGTAGCCATATGGAATTATGCTATCAAAATAAATCCCAACCAAATATATTTAAAGGGTCCTCTCAATCTGCAATCCTCCATATCATACATTCACATTCTAAAAATGAGACTGAGTGTCACATTTGTGTAATTCAATAACATCTTTTACAAACAAGATGGTTACAAAATGAATAAACGTTCAGGAGAACTCTGGTGACCGAACAGCATTCCGGAATACTCCAACATAACATTTGACAACTTTTCGACTAGAGAAAAGTCCCTGTGAGACCCTGGGCAAACCTCATCATTGCTCCTATTCTTACTTTTATTTGTCTCATTGGGGCTTTGAACAGCGTCTAATAATAGTGTGAGAAATCAGGATCACCGGACTTGAAATGGAAATGTTAGAGATCCCTAACCCTGACTTCTAAGTGCTGAGAGGTCAAGCTGGCAAGTCAAAAGTCAAAGGTCAAAGGTTACTCACCAGTTATTCACTTGTAAGATGGTGAGGCCTGTATCCTGCGCTAGTTGCTTCTTCTGCTCTTCAGATGGGTAGGGGTGCTGCAAGACAGAATCAACAAGAAAAAATATATTAATGTGTAAAAAACCTCTGCAGTTAATAACACTGCTGTCCGATGATCCATAAAGCGATAATGAATGGAACATACAAATGTCTTCATTTTTTACAGTAAGTTGTGTATTTCTCCTCGCAGTCTCCATCAATAAAGCAAATCAAGATGACCTGACTTTTTCTTAAAAACTAATCTGTTTAAATGACTAATGACCTCAAGCATCAAGTCTACCCGCCCCATGTGAGACTGCAGGCAAAAACATGGATCCCATATGACTCTTTCAGGAAATTCCATCATTATGTATGATAGACTTCTCAGATGCAGCCCCGAGTTCGAGAATTTCCCTGCGTCTTATTGGCTGAGCGCTCGTGGTTTTGTTTGACATTATTTGACATTACTTGACAAATGATCGAGTGGGTGTGAAAGAGAGACAATGGAGAGTTTTGTTTAGGGTTGAATAGGGCTTGGCCCTTGGTGGCCCCGCGGTGGCCCCTGGCCCCTGATCCTCTTGCTCTCACTGTGAGTGTAGAGGGAGGGCAGCAGATGGCAGGCAGGGGTGAATGTATAGTCAGCGCAGGGTCGTGGGTGTGCACCAATTTTGGCACTGTCACGGCCTCACCTCCCGTGGTCAGTGGTGAGGGTTGGGTCCTGTTACATGTCTCGTTCCCTCTCTCTCACACACTGACAGAGATTTCTCTGCTCACCTCCTGGCTTGCTCGCTGTCATTGTGCTCATGAATGACTGTAAGCTCCACCCCTTTTCTACACAACCCAAGTGACGGTCGACTGCGAGCTGTGCTCTGGGATCCATCTTTAAACTCTTATCACAAAGCTCTCAGCAGGTTGTGCTGCGATTGTTCGCTAAAGTTTAGCGAGGAGCCTACGTGCTTAAAAGATTGAAGCAAGCTCGCTTTCAAAGAATCACACATATTTGCATGAATTCCACTTATGTCTATTAAGAAGCCTCCTCCTCGTCCCCATTTGCATGCCAAAGGAGATCTCTCTATCTCGTCCCAGTGCAACTAACAGTTATAACTGTAATGTTCCACTGAATCTTAATGTTCTACCTTTCTTTAAGATTGGCAGCACAGGGGGTCTTTATCGCGGACCTCTGAATAGGTCACAAAAGATGGAGGCTTAGACCATATGTAAGAGCCCCCGCATCTCAAACGTCGCACACTGGCTCAAAGTAGAACCCGACAAAACGTAATCCTGCAGCTTTTATTCAGCCCCGACCCCAAATGAATGCATGATCGCCTGGGTGTTGCAATGGGGGCCATTCAGAGGCCAAAGTCCCCTCTAACACTTTTTTTTTGTTTTTTTGTCAGAGGACACATCCTGCAATGGGAAACACTTTTGCTTCACAAATCGCTCTGAAAAGGATCTGGGAACAGAGAGAGGATAATTCAATTAGGCTCTCTTTTTTATCTCTAAACTCTAAAGGTGGGTAAAAGGGAAAGGGTTACTATGTGTACAGGACCTGTGTAGCCCTTAGAAAGTGCTGGATTTCTGAAAGAGAATGGAAAACAGGAAGACGCAAGAGAATGGTGGGAATTCGAGGAGGTGGACCAGTGAAAATGTGTCGAAATTCGAGGAGGTTTAGAATGCCACAAATCAACCCAAAACCTGCAAGTTTTGGGGAAACGTACTCAACCCCTGGGTGAATAGGTCCCTTGGTTTTGACAAGCAAAATAGATGGGAGGGCCGAGAGACAGATAATAACACACCCTGCTAGTTTTAATGCAGTTTGGATGCAGGTCGCTGAGCTGAGAACAGTGGAATTGAGCTAATTCGCCAAGAGACGCAGTTGGACACTCTGGCCCGTTTTCTAAAGGCTTCCAACTTCCGACCGGAAGATCTGAGAGCGTCTTACCGTGAGATGCTGGAAGAGCCACGCCCGCATTATGTTGGTCGCCACTTTGGGGAAGATTCCTCTCTTCTTCTGCCGTTTCTTGTCTTGGTCGTCCTCGTCCCCTGTTCCCGGAGATGCCAAGCTGTTATCCAAGCCATCTCCTGATAAACAAAAAGCAGGGCGAGAGAGAGAAAGCAAAAGAAGAAAGTCACTTTAATGAGATAAAACATCACCTTCATTTGTTTATTCAGACCGATCACCAGTGCCACTCACAAACACGATGTGAAAGAGCCACACAGGGGGGGGCTTGTTTTGATTAGCAACAGCAACACAAGGACCGCAGTGAGCAGGAGTATCCATGCAGTGAGAGGGAACGCTAATCAACAGAGCGAGATCTCTCCCGCTCTCTCTCGCTGTCTCAATGTCAGAGATCTCGAGGAAAGCTCTGCACCAACCCCAGTGCTATTAATTCAATGTGAGTTCTGTCTTTGACATGGGGTAATGAATGTCCAGGCTCTATGCTTGAATGGGGAATGGAGACTTGGCACTGCAAAGAGAATATCTGATCTGAATTAGCACTCAAAATAAAGTCGAAAAAACATAAATAAAGCAAAGCCTGTTAGCGGTTGTTGAGAAAACCGTGTTAGACTTTAGAAGTTAGTAACTGGTATACCGTGCAGGGACAGAACATATGATGCTAAACCGCTAATTTACCGCTTACAGTAGCCTCACTGCAAGGCGGAACTAAGTTTAGTTAGTGGTCACCAGTGTTGGGCAGTAACACATTACTTAGTAACGCGTTACTGTAATTTGATTACTTTTTTAGTAACGGAGTAATTTAACGCGTTATAATTTTCAAAACAGTAATTAGAGTATAGTTACAAGCCGAGGTCTCTATACGTAACTGCCGCGTTACATTGCTGACAGAATGCAGTGATTTATAATCTAGATATTAAAAAGGATGTCGAGTCGAGTCCCAGTGGATTAGAGACCTGCTCCCACGAGACCCGACGCAACAGAGTGCGGCGCGGGACAAGATGAG